TGTGTGTGTGTGTGTGTGTGTGTGTGTGTGTGTGTGTGTGTGTGTGTGTGTGTTTCATAGATGCAGACTGACCGATGTCGCGCCGGTGTGTCACACACATTTACACAGATACGCACTTGTAACTGTAATTATAGCACACAACGTTACGTCTGCTGATAGTGATATTTGCGGCGGGGGTAAAAAATGATGGCAACAACAATGACAGCACATTGTAACAAATGAAAATGATGCGTGTCCAATGAAAACTTTATCAGCGTGCTCAGCGTGTTGCTCTCATTTCATAGTTATCCATACGTTTGTCCCACATGCCACACACACACACACACAAATATACACAGAGAGCTACACTAGGCACACATACTTTTAATGATGATAATGATGATGACGATGATGTAGCTTAATCGCTTTGCCTTTGCTGTTGCGTTGACTAAGCTTCATGCCTGCTCGCTCTGCTCCTTCTCTCTCGCTCTCTTTCTCTCTCGCTTTATCTTTTTCGAGTAGCCTCTCGGCCACTATTGGTGTTTATGACCCAATTTGGCGCTTGAAACGTTTCGTAAACGGCCCACCGCAGTCATTTCCGCGCCCAAAAATAAAAGTGAAAACTTAAATGAGTGTGTGTCGCTCGCTTACATTCCATGTCTCCCCCACACTCACGCATGCCAGGTCGTTTATGCGATATGTGCGTACGTACATACATATGTATGTATATGTGAGTGTGTGTTATCAAACGCCACATTCTTTATTTATTTGCCCAACGCCGTTGATTGATTAGCTTTCCAATTGATTTCCTATGGGCTTTGGCGATCTGGCAACACCGACGCCGCAGCAGCATCTAAGCGCACAGCTGGGCCAAGAGAGCGCGCGCACACACGCACGCACGCACGTGCCTGTGGAAGCGCGCGCGCCGGCCGTAAGTGTGTGTGTGTGTGTGTGAGGGACAGTGAGAGTGAGAGAATAAGCGAATGAGCGAACGTCCTGCTCATTACATAGAAAGGAAACAAAACAAAAGCAATTTAGAGCAGCTGCACCCGCTGCGCACGCGTGTAGGTGCATCTCGTCTATATGTGTATGAATGTATGTATGTGTGTGTGTGTGTTTATGTGTGCACATTAGCTGTGTCTGGCTTGAGCTCAACGCCGACTGCCGTCTCAGTTGACAATTTCACGCCTTGCCAAATACACGCATCGGCGTCATCTTGTTGACGCTCTCCCTTTTCGTATTCCTTTTCGCATTCAAATTCATTCTTTCTGATCGCCTGCATTTCGCACTTCTCTTTCGATCGCTTGCAGATGTCATTGACGAAAAAGGATCCGTCGTTGCGTGTTGCTGCCTCTGATCCACATTTGGTTAGCTTGGGTGGCGGACGCCTCAGCACCGCTGTCACCATACACTACATACATATTGGTGAGTAAATACATACATACATACATATATGCATGAGCACACACATATACACATGTACATACATACATACTTATGCCCGCCAAGGTCATTTGTAAGCCGATAAGCAAAACTGAAGAGACTCAAATTCAAGAAAGCAATTCAAAAGGCAAATGAAACGAACGCGAAAGCAACGCACAAAATAAAAATACGAAACAACAACAACAACAACACGCATTTTCGGTACTCTTATTGTGCGCTGCGATAAGATCCGCACAGTGTGCCCAAAGAGAGTCTCTAAGCTTTTAGGATCTTAGCAGCTAGTATATGACCAAATACCATCGTAAAGATAGCGGACTTAAAGATTATGCATGTGTAAGCCTTATATCGTACCGGTGGGAGTTTTCAAATATTGTAGAGCTGAAAAGTAAAACTAAATTATAACACTATACACATTTGTTTTGTTTTTTATTTTATTTTTTTAACTTTTCTAACTTTTAACTGTATTTAAATTTAATAGAGATGAAAAAAAAAAAAAAAAAAATTAAATATAGCCAATTGTAATGTATATATTATTATATATTTTTAGGCTAAATGACTTTACAAAAAATGTATTTATTTTATTTGCCAACATAAACAAAGCAAGAGGATTTTTATTTTAATTACACTTGAGTTGTAAAATTGTTTTTTAAGTTTGAAATTTTAATGCTTAATAATTAAATTGGAAAGTTGCGATTGTTTCTACTCACTGAGCAATTAGTAACGTTAAGTAATGAAACAAGCATTTCAAAATGAATTAATCAAACGCTAATAAAACTCAAGCTACAAATTATCGTTGGCTATAACAATATATAATTAGCTGTAATTCCAATTAAATTTAATGCAGTCAAATAAATAAAGCTTTGCCCACTGTGCATAATCTTTGACACGGCAAAACGGTAAAATTGTGCTTTGACGAGGACGCTCTGTTGTTGCTGTTGTTGTTGTAGTTGCTCTCTGCGCGAGCACCAGATAAGAGCACACTGACCGTTGTCAGCTCAGCCCGGGTTCGGCTCAGCCTGCTGCGGCGCTGCTCCACTCTGGGCGCCTCAATCGCGAGTCGAACGCACGTGCGTGCGAACGAGAGAGAGAAAGTAGCTGGTGTAACGGTAAAACGGACGACAGTAAAAGCAACAACAACGACTGCAACAACAGCAACGAGAGCGAGAGTGAGAACAAGAGTAGAAATAACGGTTAGAATTTACAGTTAGAATTGCTTACAACTCAGTGCTACAATTACAGTTATGTGATTTCGTTTTTGTTTTTGTTGTATTAAAACAACAATTTTGTATTTTAATTGACAGGCGACACAACAATCGGATCAGCTCCGAACTGCAGCATCTCACTTAACGGTAGCGGAGTACGGCCGCTGCACTGCACCATTTATAGAAGCGAGGAGAACGAGGTGACGCTGGTGCCGGAGCAGGAGGCGCGTGTGCTGATCGACGGCGCTCCTTTGGATGACGTGGAGGAGGCGAAACTGAGTCAGGGTGCTATGATAACCATTGGCAACTCGAACTATCTGCGTTTCAACAATCCGGACGAGGCGCAAATGATGCGCTCAGCGATGGGCTCCAACGAGCGCATCTCCATGCCGCATATTGACTTTACGCAATCGTCGCGATCCAACGACAGCCAAACACTGGAGATGGAGAGCTTCTACGAGAGCATAATCAATCCCATCAAGCATAGCGGGAATACTAACAGCAACAACAGTGGCAACAGCAACAATAGCAACAGCATGGATCTGCATGGCGTGCAGTGCCCCAAGGTGTTTAGCTCCGATCTGGTGACTGTGAATATGGCCGCACGCGATGTGCTTGGCCAGAAATACGCGAGCTTTGCCCGCAATCTGGCCGAGAATCATCGCGGCGAGAAGCAGCTGAACAATCAATATGCCAAAACCTTAAACAGCAGCGGCGCCAATGGGATTGGCCATAATGCCGGCTACTGCAATGTACCCAGCAATGCGGCGGTCTTCAAGCAGCAGCAACAGCAACAACAACAGCAACAACAACAACCGGGACAGCAACAACAACAGCTGGGACAGTCTGAGCTGCTGGGCAAGGTGAACAACGATCGATATGATCGATATCCCAAGCCGGGCACCTACACCGCCGGCGGCCTGCAAATATTCGCCATGAACGGCATCAATACGGAGCTGAACAGCGGCGCCGAGCTGGAGGATATGCTGAAGATCTGCACCGAGTACGCGGATCGGCAGCAGCAACAGCTGCAGCACAGCGCCAACAACAGCGGCAGCAGCCATGCGCTGCACAATGCCAGCGCTGGCAGCATCACCTCCTCGCCCATTGTCCAGAACAGGATCAAGACGAACGGATCGCTGCCGCGGGACAAGAAGCCAACGTTTCAGCATGCGGGCAGCAGCTCCAATTTGGCGTTGATTAGCAGCACGTCTGGCTATGAGAATGTCCGTATGCTGGGTCCCAATCGTGTCGAGATCAATGGACAGCTGCATGTGCCAGCAGGCGGAGGAGGAGGAGGAGGAGCAGGAGGAGCAGCAGCTGGCGGCGGAGCCGGAGCAGCTGGAACGGGCGGCGCTGCCTCAGCGTCGGAGAATCAATTGCCTGGCGGCACAACCAAATACGTGCCACAGAGTCCGCGCACCAAAATACGCACCAATTGCATGTCGCCCAAGAAGGATGCATCCTTTAGCAGCGCCTTTGCGCTGGCCAGCTCCACGCCGACGCCGGCGCCGGCGTTGGTGAAGCCGCCGTTGGCGCCCAAGCCGCCGGCGCCCAATCAGCAACGGGACTATGAGCAGCTCTTCAAGTCGTTCGAACGCAAGCAGCAGATCGAGCAGCAGCAGCAGCAGCAGATGCAACAGCAGCAGATGCAACAACAACAGCAGCAGCAACAACAACAACAACATCCTGCCAAGCGCTCCAACAAGAATATCAACAATCTAACGCTCAATCTGAACGAATCCGCCAGCCAATCGCCTAAGCCCAATCGCAAGCCAGCGCCAGCGCCGCGCAGCATCAACGTGGAGCAGCGAAAGCGGCGCGACTTGGATCAGCGGCAGATGCCAGATGCCAGCAGCATTCACGAGGTATCTACAGCGCATATATACCCTATAAACATCAACAACTAAAGTCTTAAATTTTGCTTGCAGTCGGCGTCAGGTGAACAACAGCAGCAGCCTCAGCCGCAGCAACCTCAGCCGCAGTCAACGTCCGCAGCGCAGCCGGCGTCGACGCCTCGCCAGCAGCTTTTGGCCCTGCAGAATCGAATTCATCGCCTGGAGGCGCAGCGCAATGCGACGCGCGTGATGGAGGAGAATCAGCAGGCAAAGCTGAAGCAGTCCATTGAAATGAAGCAGGATCAGTTGAATAAGTAAGAATCTGAGGATATTGGCATATTGGGATATACCCTGTACATGCCAATACAACTGAGTGGGTAGCCATGCGTAGGAGATACTCTGTAAAACTAAGTATAAGTATAGTTATGTTGAGAATATACCCTGTAAATCAAGGTATCTTAGTTGTATGTGTAGCTCAGTTGAGAAGATACCCTGTAAATTCAAAAGTGTCATCTGAATGTATAGATTTAATGCAATTAGCAAGATACCCTGTAAATTAAAAAACATCAGCTGAATACATATGTTAAATACGTAGGTCTGGTACAAAGATACCCTGTAAATCCAAATTTATTAGTGGAACTAATTACTCAGTTAATGAAATACTTAGTAAAGCAAAGTTTGTGCTCAGTAAACCCAGCTGACTTTTAAGATCAAAATTACATCAGACAAAAATTAACTTGCTAGGAAGATACCCTTTACATTGAAATATCTCAGCTGAATTCATTAATTCGATCCGCTTATAGAAATACCCTACTTTGATACGTAGCATGAATAAGTAGACTAGTTAATACCCTGTATTGGCAACGAACTTGAACTAGATCACTGCAGTAAATTCCCTCTAAATTATAGCTCAATGAAAAAATATTCCTAAATAACTCTTTTTTACGTTGGCAAATCAGGGAAATGTAAAATAGGTCACAATATATGCCAGTCAAAGCTCATACAGATCTTGATCTTGAACAGAATAACAAATATCCCATTAAGAAATATTCCATTTGCATACCAAATTTCCCTAATATAACTCCCATTGTCGAACTGAACTGAACTGATTCATAGGCTCTTAAACTTCGTGCTCGATCGTAAAAGTTTATAGTGCTCTCTAGGCTACAAATATGCAAATTAACAGACAGCTTTATAGGGTAGATATACATAAGAAAAAAACCAAAAATAATTGCTGACGTATGCTTCAGTATCATTGACGTGAAGATACCCATTATCAGCTGTTTGTGCTGACACAATTCTTCCGATGAATAAGAAATTCTTGGGAAAATGAAACCGTATCAAAACTTGAGGCTTTATCAGGAAAAAAGGTCAAGCATTATTGAGCCTTACAGATTAGAGGCATAGGAGAGATATTTGACCAGGAAGTAGTGCAATATGAACTTATCTAGTAGAGATAGGGTATTACAAACATTCAATTGTCTTTAAACTCAGTTCTCATTGAGAGACAGTTCTACTGATCGATGTGAGAATTACTTGTATTATTTCATAGAACTGCCTTCAGGCACATTTCAGTTGATTTTCTTAGTAGCAAACGGAAATTTCAGCTGTCAATCATTTCTGTTGAATAGAAATCTGTTTTCCGGAATTAATAGAGCTCAAGTATCTAATTGTTATCATTGCAATCTTTCAGACTGCGCGCCATGCTGAAACAGAAGCCGAACAATGCCTGCCTGAAGGAGGAGCTGGAGCATGTGTGCGAGTCGCTGGAGAGCGATCGCAAGGCATTCGAGGATCTAGAGTTTCAGTATTTCGAGGAGGAGTCGGAGCATCATGCCTGCCACGAGGAGCTGAAGCGGCAGGAGCAGCGTCTGGTCCTGGAAACGGAGCTGGCATCGTTGCGCATACAGCTGGGACGCGAACAGCCCGACGAGCAGGAGGAGGAGTCAGCACAGGCGCTGGTCACATCGTCCACAAGCGGACGCAGCACACCAGCTGCCACAAATGGCGGCAGCAATCTGGCCAACGGCGTCATGTCCCAGTCACTGTTCGGCTCCGCTGAGCTGTTGTGCCCCAAGCGGCACAATCAGGAGGATCTAATGTCGAAGAGCGTCAACGAGAACATGTTCCACAGCAACAACAAGATCGAACTGCCGCACGGTGGCCAGGTGACCAGCACACCGAAGCGAGCACCGTTACAGATCTACGATGCCGGCAGCTGTGAACAGATCAGCTTCAATTTATCGCTGCGCAGCGATCGATTCGAAGTGAATCCGCTGGAGCGTCGTGTGCCCTCGCAGGATGACATCGATCGCAGCTGCAAGGTGGCCAACGATGCGCCCATTTCGACCAGCCAAGGCGCCAGCACCAAGATCTTCGACAGCATCAAGGAAATCGAACGCAATCGCAAGCTGCTGCTGGCCCAGCAAGGCAAGAGATGATCTCAAATGCATTTCACATGCAATTTCTCAACTCTCTATATCACATTCATATAGGTCACCAGGTCATTGAGCATGAGCGCCAGAAGATGTACGATCTGAAGAAGAAGAGCCACGACGAGGCACGCACACAATATCTGCTCTCCATGCAGCAGACGACAGAGCCAACGATTGAACCACCGCGACCGCCAGCCAAGCACGCTCCACTGAACGCCAAGTGAGTGAATGTTTCATTACCACCACAAAGTTTGCCCCGCCCACGCCCCCGTCCCGTCCCGTCCCCACCACAGCGCCCTTGCCGTCCTTCCGCTTGCTTGCTCTAATTGAATCAACGCGGCTCAAATGCAACTGAACTCAGTTCAGTTGGGCTCGGTTCGGTTCGGTTCGGTTCGCGTTGCCTAGCCCCCAGAGTGGCGCCCTCTTCGTTCCACATGCTTGACCCCATCTTAATTAATTGTGCAGCTGACACAAGCTGCAATGCAGCCGCCCTTACACTGTGCGACAAGGCACCGCAAGAATTTTGCAATTCACATTCAATTCTCATACGCGTTGCATATTAAATATGAAATATAAAAATAAAAACATTTTTATATTATAAAATGCATAAAATAGAAAATATAAAACATAAAATATAGAGAATATAAAATAAAATAATATTTAAAGCATTATATAAACAAAAATATAATATAAATCATTAAATATAAAATTGAATAGAATATTTTCATAAATATATATAAAGCATAAATTATTAAATATGAAATATAATGTGTAAAACATAAAGAATATAAAAGATCAAGCTTTAAATTAAAATATTCAAACATAAAATTTACAATATTAAATAAATGAATACGAATATAAATAAAAAAAAAAAAAATAAATAAATAAAAAAAATAAATAAATAAATAATAATATTAAACCAAATAGCTTAAAATTACAAAAATATAAAAAGAATGTGAAAGATAAAATATAAAATATCAAGCTTTAAATTAAAATATTCAAACATAAAATTTACAATATTACAGTATTAAATCAATAAATAAGAATATAAATCAACAAAATTTAAAAAAAAATAATAATAATAATAGCATAAAACTAAATAGTATAAAATCAATAATAATATAAAAGAAAATGTAAAAAAATATACATATATAAAATCACGCTTTAAATTAAAATATTCAACCTTAAAATTAACAATATTAAATAAATGAATACGAATAGAAATAAAAAAAATTAAAAAATAAATAAGTAAAAAATAATAAAAATATAAAAATTTAAAAGTAAAAATATAAAATATCAAGCTTTAAATTAAAATATTTAAACCTAAAACATACAATATTACAGTATTAAATCAATAAAAAAGAATATAAATCAACAAAATTAAAAAAATAATAATAATAATAATAGCATAAAACTAAATAGCATAAAATCAATAATAATATAAAAGAAAATGTAAAAAATATATACATATATAAAATCAAGCTTTAAATTAAAATATTCAAACTTGAAATTTACAATATTACAATATTAAATAAATAAATAAGAACATAAATAAACAAGATACGAAAAAAGAAGAAAAAAAGAGAAAACAACAAATCAATAATAATATAAGAAAAATGTTGACTGAAAATTATGAATATTCAATTTTAAAAAATTAAAGAATTATTAAAAAGTATTAAAATAAAGCGTAAAATTTAAAATGTAGATTACAAAAAATTGCATATCAAATTTTAAAAGTAATTTTCAATATAAAATAAAAGAAATAAAAATATTATAAACATTGTATTATGTTAAAATATTATTTTTTAATATAATATTTTTATTAATATTTAATTTAATATTTATTATTAATATATTTATTAATTATTACGTAAAATTTAACAAATACTTGTTTCTGTATTTTACATAATATAGAAACAAATGTTTGTTAAATATATTTAACTGCTGAAAACTGCAAAATAATACATTGCAATATAATATTGTTCATAAATATTAATAATATTTATATATTTTTTTTAAAATGTCTTTCAAACTGTTAACAAAATAAATTCTAGTGAATTCTTGCTGTGTTGCGCAGTGTAAATGCCTTTTGGGTGGCGTGCACACACTCAACACTCGCTGACTCTATAATTAATCAAATTATTTGCTAATAGCAAAGCAATGCGACGGACGTCGACGGCGACGACGACGCTGACGCTGACTGCGACGTCAACTGCGTCTGATTGTGTCTAAGATCGAAAATAAAACCGGTTTTTAGTTTTCAAATTACGTGTCGATTTTCAAATTGTTGGAGAAACAAACAAAGAGAAGTTCGAGTTGGAGAGAGCGACAGAGACAGAGAGAGAGAGAGAGAGAGTGAGAGAGAGAGATGACAACTACATCATATTTTTGTTGTCCGTGTTGATTAGTGTGGCTTTTGGTTTACTCATTGACGGCGACACACGACACTCATTATCGAATTCGATGCCGACTGTCGCTCTCGAATTTATTCGAACATCGCTCAGTCGCTCAGTCGGTCTGCTCAGTTGGACAGTTAGTCAGAGTTTGTTAGAGTTTGTTAGCTAGTTAGTCAACCGATCGACAACACCTGAAAATTGAAGCGTGCTGCAATTATCAACGCTGCCAAGGAGTTCTCTCTCTCTGCCGACGTCGCTGCTGCTGGCGCTGCTGCTGCGGCTGCTGCTGATAAGCTTATCAACTGTTTGTTTGCGCCAGCTGCGTTCGCTCCCTCTCTCTCTCTCTCTCTCGCACTCTCTATCTATGCGTTGGCTCATACCAAGTCAAGTGTCTCTGTGTTCGGAGAGCGCGTTCATTTATTTGCCAGACGTCGCATTTGTGCATTGTGACCGCCGGCCTCATCCATACCGCACACTCGATTCCCATTACGATTCCGATTCCGATTCTGATTCCTATAGCAGATTCGACGCGCCTGTTGCTTAGTGAGTCAAACGCAGCGCGTCGCCGTCGTCGTCGTCGTCGTCGCAGGCTGCATTAGTCATCGAAATGGATAAGCTAAATGCGCTGATTCCATGCTGGTACGATGGGGCATGGAAATGAAAGTGGAATTCATTCAATTTGACTAACATTGTGACTCTTCTTCTTCCTACACTTGCAGCGGCGGCAAAGATGCCAAATTGTTTGATAAAGTCGAACTACAAAAGCTCAACGATGAAACTGCTCAACAACAACAACAACAACAAAAGACACAACACGATAAAGAGAATAATGCGTCAGGTGATGGCAGCGCGGCTAGTACAAAAACAACAACAACAGCAGCAATAACGGGGACAACAGCAACAACAACAACAGCAAATCAACAGGTGAGTTGCCAAGAAAGTTAACCTAGGCCAAAGCAAAGCAAATGAAAGCCAAACAAAAGTCTAAAGTACCCCCCCCCCCCCCACATTCCCCCTGCCCTGCTGCTACCTGTCGAGGTCAGCTCATTTAGTCGCCCACACACACACACACACACACGCACGCACAGCTGTTTAATTTTTGTAAATCCAATTGCTCCAAGAGACCCCCCACCCCCTCCACTCCCTCCCCCCAAGAAACCCACGTACAATCAACTGATTTGTGTGGTCCTCTTTGATGGTCTCGCTGCCTAATCTCTGGCCAAGATAATTGCTATAGCTTGGCCAGCCGCTAGGGCCGGGCGAGTGGGAAGCCCTGGTCAGTTGGGGGCGAGACATACATATGTATGTATATGTATGTACTTATTGTCCAAATACGAAGCGTCGTAACTTAAGTGAACTGGTCGAGTGTGTAAACACGAATCGGCCATAAATAAAACAGTCAACAGCATTACCTGGGCCGATATGAGAGAGAGAGAGAGAAAATAAAAACTTGAATTGTGACTTGCATTGAATCGGGGGGTTATCGGGTATCGGTTATGAAACGGTCATTGCTGTAATACCCGTTATGCAGCCAAATGCCCTGTAGTTTGATTGATATGCCAATAATGGAGTAGAAACTGAATACCTAATGATATCATACATATGTAGATATATCATGATATATCATGGTATTTTCTAGTCCCGCAATGGAAACGGCGATAAGAATCCTAAAATACAAGCGCGTCAACAGCGAAAACTGTTAGGAATTCACGCTAAGATAAATGCAAAGCAAATAGAGCCCGGTTAGGTAATGCCCACATATATGATAGATATCATATAATAAAATATATTATATGCAAAATATATTTATATGATAAATACTATACAACACATACATATACATATTTATATATAAACATATTTATACAAAATTCGAGTAAATAAGTTGCAGAGATAAAGGTTATTTACCTCTTGTACACTTGCTGTAGTCTAAATCTAGAATTTGTTTCTTTCAAGATCCCTTTAGGAAATAATACAAATCGTATATTTGACATGCTTTTAATGTCAGTCTAACTTCATTTAATTATATTTTCTATAATCTACTTAGATTGAGTTTTCTTTCTTTCTCCCGGTCTCTTGATCCATTGACTTGATACTTTTCTATATTCTATCTTTTAACACAATACATTTTTACTCACTTTACGATTATGTTATATTGTGTATTTCTGTTCCTTACTCATTCATTTCTCTCGTTCTCGGTAAAAAACTCCTTGTTATATCCTCTCTCTCTCTCCCTCTCTCTCTCTCTTTTCTCTTTAGGAGTTGCTTTAATGTAAAATTTGTATTTATATGATTTCTCTCTTCTGTTACTCGCCCTCTATTTCCATTTATTCCTTTCTATTTCTCTCAAGAAAGGAGAAAGTAGGAACCTACCTAGCTATTTCTCAAACCCTTTATCTTACCTACTTTTATCCGCTCCCTTCTCTCTCTCTCTCCCTCTACCAACTCTCTCTCTCTCTCTGTTCTACTCCCTCTAGTCTACTCCCTCTATCGCTATACTAGTCTCTACTCGATCCATTTCTCTCTCTGATTTTGGATCGTAACGCCAGCACGCTGACAGCCTCTCAGCCCATCGATCGTCAGGTCGTTAGTCACGAGTTTTATTCAGTTATTCAGTGCCTCGACAATTTGTTTGCTATTTTAGATATATATAAATATATGTCTATATTTTTTGTTCTTCATTTCATTTTAGCAATGTTTATTTTAGAATTGTACCGCCCCCGCGTTCTGCTCATTTGCCCAAATGTTCTGTTCCATTCCGTTTCGTTCCGTTTCGTATCGCTCTGTTCCTTTCTATATGGACACACACACTTTATTAATAAGTTTATAATAATATTTGGGTCTATTCATACGCGCCGCCAACGAATTTCGTTTGCGGTCTTCAGTTTTAGTCCGTTGCTCGTTATGCGCACTACTTAGTGGTTGTTGTTGTTCTTGTTGTTGTTGTTGTTGTTGTTTACCTTGATCGCAAATGTTGTTTACATGTTTCGGTTCTAGTACCAACGATGATCATTGCCAGCATCTTCGTACAGCCCCAATAGCCCCCATAAATTGCGTTGGCCCATTACGCTAACCATTATAATCGACCGATTCGACAACTCTCTCATCCAGCGATCCAGCGATATAGCGCCTCGACTGGACAATGTTCGTGTGCGCCTCGTTTCATTTGGGGCCATAGATTCACGTTTGTTTTCATTTCTGGATCTCATGTGAATTGTTTCTGTTTTGTTTCTTGTGGTCGCGGTATTTCGCATTCGCAAACGGTTCGTTACGCACGGTTCGGTTCAGTCGATCGCAGCGCACGCTCAAGAAATTCCTCAAGAATACGAAAAAACCAATTAACGACATAATAATAGCCAGATCAAAGGATTGTCAAATATGTCCGTCTGGATGACCTATGTCCAGCATCGTCGCATGGATGCCAATGCCAGGCAGCGCAACGAACTCTACTATCTAGTGAGTGTGTGTGTGTAGGTGTGTTTGTGTGTGTGTGTGTGTGTCTTCACTATTTGACTTAACTATCTGATTCGATATGGGACTTATTATCATGGATTTGCATTTTTCCATTAAGAGAAATCTCTTCTATTGGATTGCTCTTCAATTAAACTCTTACAATATGATTATTATATTATAATTATTAATATGAAATCATTTACATAATTTTTGGGATATAGAAGGTCTGATTTTCCCTCCCAATTTTATTGTTACTAAAATATATAATAATATAAAATAAGAATCATAATAATAAAATAAAAAATAAAAATAGTAATACTAATAAAATAAGTAACAATAATAAAATTATTAATAATATAATAATAATAATATATATAATAATAATAAAATTAAATATACTATAATACCAATCTAAAAAAAAATCATTTTGAAAAATTCCTATTAAAATTTAAAAAAATAATAAAAAATAAAAAATAATATTATTCAAATTAAAAACTGTTTTCTGTTTATTTTTGTATTTTTTATTTACTATTATTATTTCGTATCAGTTTATTTAATATTATTAAAAGTTAAAATTAATTGAATACAAAAAATGAGTAAGGAAAATAATAATATAAAATATTTTGTACAATTGTACACAGTTTGCATAATTCCATAATCGAAATGTATATATATATATACATATATACCTTTTTTAACAATTTGTTGCGTGTGTCGCACATAAGGCAAGCCTTACTGTATTGCTTCAAGAGCTCAAAGACCTAAAGGGTTTCTTTGACAGAGAGAGAATCTTAACATAAAAGTTGAATCTGTCATAAAAAGCAATAATTAACAAATTGTTAACATTAATTTAAAAATAATTAAATATTTAAATTAATTAAAAAATAATTTTTAAGAAATAATTTAAATTAATTAAAAAATAAAAAATAATTTAAATTAAATTAGTAATTACGTAAATAACAAAACACCTATTCATTTTAATAATATATATATTTAAAAAAATAATTTTTGACATACTGCTGGCTATTTTCGGCTGCTTTTGGCTAATTTTCGGCTAGTTTTAACTAGTTTTTAGACCATCTCTTCTTACCTAAGCTCACATTCGATGGGCAACTATAAATTGTTATATATGATATTTATATACATACATACATATATTATTATATGTATATATTTGTCTAAACAAAAACTATCTAAGAGCTCGAATTGTTTTAGCCTCTGCATTAATTTTAACAATTAGTTGAAGCATTTGGGCTTACTAAATAAATGTAAATAAATTTTTAAATGTTTACATTTTTTTTTTCAAGTGCTAAAAATCTTTATATGCGTGTGTATGTGTGCTGACCGATATGTATGTGTATAAGTAAATACATATATATATGTATATATAACTAGTAGTCCTTGACTTAATTTGACCTGTCTCTCTCTTTCTCTCTCTCTCCCGTCTCTCTACCACTCGCTGTCTCTCTTTCTCTCCCTCCCTCCCTCTCTCTTTCTCGCTCTATAGTTATAGTTTGTTTATGATTCATATGTATATTCCAAGATATATTACCGTGCCATAAATCTTATGCTAGGGCAACTCTAACAACTCTCTTCTTCTTCCTTGCACTTGAGTCTAGAAACGAGCTAACGATTACATTTGCTCATAATTTCTAACACCTAGACCCATTTAGGGGTTAAGCGGATTGCTCCATTGGCCACTGGCCAGCGGAATGCGCAGCTTTGACATAGAAACCAAAAGAGAGTGAATGAGAGAGAGAGAGAGAGAGAGGTAGGGAGGGAGGTGCTTTGCTTTGGTTATGCGGCTATCTATTTATAGAGTTTAGCCCACTTACAACGCTCGCCGCACTGTGAATTAATTGCGTTCGCATTTTGTGTCCACAGCAACGTCATTCGCAGCCGGAACTGGAGCATCATGGAATCGTGGCCGTTGGCTCGGCTCACGGCACAGTGGCGCGCAGTCCGCGTCCGCTGTCGGAGGCGAACAACTGTGAGGCGGCCATTGAGACGCCCAAGTTTGGCGCCAACGGCGATGTGGGCGTGTCGGATAACAATAAACGCGCCAGCAGCAACAGCAACTCACAGGACACCGCGTCGGCGGGCAGCGGCAGCGGCAGCGGCAGCAGCAGCGGCGCCGGCACCGGCACCGGCAGCAGCAGCGCCAGCGCCAATGGCGGCGAACGTAAACGCATGCTGCCCAAGCATCAGCGTCCACTGACACGCTACCTGCCCATCTTCTCGCCAGATCTGAATCTGCGGCATCACATCGAGACGGCCGGCCATCAGATCGATCTCTGTCCGCATGTGTTTGTCGATGCGCACAGCTGTCGCGGGTAAGTGATTTATATATATATATATCCTATATATATACATATATAATATATATTTGTGCTCCTTTCAGTTACCTGCACAAATTGGGCGCCACGTTCCATGCCTGGTCCCGTCGCTGGTTTGTGCTGGATAGACAGCGCAGCGCGCTCATCTACTACTCGGACAAGTCCGAGCGTAAGCCACGAGGCGGTGCCTACTTTGCCGTAAGTCACGATCGTTCATAATTCGATAATGCGTAATTCTCAACTCTTGTCTCTGTCTCTAATCTGCAGACCATTGACGAGGTCTATTTGGATCATTTGAATGCGTCGAAGAGCGGCCGACCCCATTGTACATTCATTGTGAAGACGAAGAAGCGTAGCTATAATCTGCAGGCGGCTTCCGATGCAGCGGCGCGCATCTGGATCGATGCCATCATAACGGGCGCACAGGGAAATCTGGACTATTGATAGAGAAACAACACAACACAAACCACACACCCACCCACCCACACACACACACACACACACACATACATATACACAAAGTGGGGCAGCGTACACATACTGAAACGGTTTTAGCTCAACTAAATTGTAAACTTGTAGATACGTAAGGCAGTTAAATTTAGTCGTTAGGTTAGCTTACATAAATCCTGTATGTAAAAAGAGAAACTATAACTAAACAAAAAACAAAAACAAACAAAAACAAACACTTAAACTAAATATACCAAGAAACTATCAACTATTTTGGAAACTAACGAAATCCGAGATTTCAGTACTGGACCAAAGTGAAGAATGTATTTTGTATGCTTTTAATTTGTCATAATTTTAGTGAACTAAGCATTATATTTATATACATACATATACCATGCACATGCATATAATATATATATATAATTTATATATATATATATATTTATATAGACAGACAGCCCAACGCATATAACGCAACCATTTCATCAACTACTTTTATATACAACATATATATATTTTTTTTATATACTTTATTAACCAAATGAATCTATCTGACTATCTATGTAATTACTATTGAAGCTTCAATGTGAACATTATTTAACTTTATGCTACAATAAATATTTGTAATATTTTTATAAAACTGAAATTGAAAATGGATTGCAACATACGAGTATGATGGTCCCTCCTGAGAGAAATCCATTGCAAGAATATGTGCTCAGGCAAACTGATAAAACGATAATCAAAAACTATAAACGTAATCAAATGAAACTTACAAATATTTAAAATAATTATGCAAATTTAAGTCGCTACGGCAAAAATAGCAAATAAATAATTGTTTTTAAATGGATAACTGAATTAACCTTTTTATTTGATTGATATAATGTAATTAACACTAGATAACTTGGTAACAAATACATATGTATATAGTAATGGATGTCTAGCTGAAGAATCCAAAATGAAGTATTTGAATCGCTTTAAATACTGCACAGATATCATCGTTTGTTTATTCACTAATTGATATATACATATATATTTACATATACATATACATATATATATATATACATACATTACATATATACACATATATATATCTACATATATACATAAGAGCTTAGGTATAAATATAAGCTGCGCAGAATTTGTTGATTTTATATATTCCTAGGAGCTATCAAGACGTTGACGCTTCGGCTGTGCTTTATCGTCATCGCCGCCATCGTTCATATTGTCCTCGTAGCGATCCAAATATTGATATAGCCAGCGCGCAAACTCATTCATGTAGGGATCCACGCGTGAGATTACCTTCAAGTTGACAACGGCAGGCGGCGGAAAATCGCCGACGCCAAAGATGCTGCGCACAAAGTTCTCGCTATGGAAGATGGCAACGGCCACGTCGGCTTCAAGCACATCCAGTCGCATGGACAGCTTGGCAATCGACTCAGCGAATTGCTTTAGCACAATATATGTCTTGCTGCTGAAGGCAGCTGTAGGAGTAAAAGAGACGGAGCAAGAGCATGAGTGACATGAATTGAAATGAAATGGCAGATGCGCTCACTTGGCTGCTCGATGCGAGAGACAACGTAGTATTTTTGTAGCAATTGCTCGGCCTCCACTGTGAACGTAACCTGACGCTGATGGAGAAAGGTGAGCATTGTTCTTATATCATCTTTGGGTATATTAAATGCATCATGTATTTCCTCTGGCATATCGCTCTGGTGCTGATTCAGCACAAAGTCCCACAGGGTATTGCTCTCCTGATCCCCCATGTGCACGGGCAGGCCAAAGATGCTGCAAAGGAATGAGGAAATATATATCTGATTTATATGCAGATAGTTTCAGGTACTCACGGACAAAGCTTGGCAAACGCTGTCGCTTGGTTGGCTGCATTCTCCGGCTGCCAATACGTCCATATGGCCGCTTCGAGCGGCTGCTCGCTCTGCAGCTGCGGCACCGGCACGCTGCCGTTCTCTATGCACTTCTCCAGCTCCTCGCTTTGGGCGCGCGTCAAACAATTCCAGTCACCGGCATAGTAGACGCCCTGCTGGGCCAGCAGCAATGGGCTGGCCATCACCCATTTGTGGCGCAACGACAGGGCTGAATGCTGTACTGGCTCTTGGCACCCCTCGTGGGGCCCAATGAAACGGGGCGCCAGTTGCCCGACTTGGTGCAGCATCAGGTTGGCCATATAGCTGTCGCTGCAAATGACACACAGTGAAATGGGCGGACGCATCTCGTCCGGCTCCAGGCTGGCCAGGCTGCACAGCAGAGCCATTTTCAGATAGACATAGCATTCCATGGGCACAAACTCCTGGGACAGCTGCGCACTCAGCGCATAGACAAAGGCATAGTCCGAGTATTTGGCGCAGATTAGGCTATACAGCTTCTTGATGCTCGGCGGCATGAAATTCAAATCGATCTCGATATTGCGACGCTGTGGGCTGTCAGATTTCACAAATATTAGGTGACGTGGTCCGCGATTCCTCTCGTTTGTCGCTTTATCGGCAGCCAGCTTCGGGCTCAAGTCAATATTAGTTGGTTCAAGGAATAGAAACGCCTCCGTTTGCTGAGAAGCCGGATCCATGTCCAAGAGCGGACGGCTGTGCAGCATATTATCAGAAGCGTCGTTGGGGCCATCTACGGTTCTCACCGAAGCGCTGCTGAGGGTGTTGGTGCTTCCACTGCGGCTGCTGCGACTGCGATTGTGGCTGCTGTTGCCGGTCGTCCGGATGCCCGCGCTGGGGAGGCTGCTGTTGCCGGTCGTCCCGATGCCCGTGCTGGGGAGGCCGCTGATGCCGTCCGTCCCGATACCCGTGCTGGGGAGGCTGCTGAGCCGAAAAACCGACTGGTTGTCATAGTTGGAGTTGTGCTGCATTGGCGGCAGCGGCTGGACTCTTGAGCCTCTGGCAATCACTGGTGCGCTGCTCGCCTCTGAGTAGCTGGAGGACAGAGTATATGTGGCTCTCGGTGCTTGGCTGCTGCCGGTTAATTGTGATTGTAATTGCAATTGCGGTTCTGGCTGGAGCGGCGACAGGCCCTCGAATGGCAGCGAGACCAGCTCGAACAGGGCATCGGGCTTGAGTGTGCGATGGAAGCGCTGACGACGACGACGCTCCTGCCAGTTTGAAAAAATTAAGGGAATTATGGATATATCAAGAAGAAATCTATGACTCTTTGCTTACGCTAATCCTTGAGTTCTTGATGACCACTGGGTTTGGATTGGGACAAAATTCGTTGGCGTTCCAATTCAGTGTGCTGTGTGCTGCGATGCCTTCCAGCGGCAATTGGGATTCCGGTGGCATTGAGTTGTCGGCCAGCGCCTGCTCCAGCTCCTGCATAAAGGACACATCATCGTCAACTGGTGCGTTCTCTGTGCCGGGACTGGACGGCGACAGCAGCTCCTCAGGCAGTTGCGCCGGCAGGCCACGATGTTCGCGACTGGAGCTCTGAGCTGACGTTCCTTGCTCGCGTTGCATGCGCCGCTCCTTGCGACGCATTTGGCGACTGGTTGGCTGCGCACTTTGTGGCTCGTTGATCGGCACTGCAACTCTGGCGTCATCACCAGACATGGAGCGGATCTCTGGTGCGGTGGGCACAACGTTGCCCACTGGCAGCGAAACAGACACATTTGGGGGGCATGGTGCTGATTGTGTAACTGGTGATTTTTGTTCAGGCCGCGCAACGGTTGGACTGGGACTGGGCATGGCACTGGGAATGGGACTTGGACTGGGACTGGCCACAGGCGTTGGCGGCTTATTCACTTTCTGGACTGGTGACTGCTCCTGTGAGGCAGCTGCCGGGGCGCTCTTGCAACCCGATTGCGTGAAGCCAGAGGTGCGATATGGTGTTTGCAATTGCTGCGATTTCACGAAAGGCTGCTGCACAGACTTGAGCCATTTGTTAACCACCTGTTGCTTGTCGAACGATTTGCCTGAGGACGACTGCTGCACCTGAACGCCGCCGGAAATGCGCTGGCTATTGTCCTGGGCCGGAGCCACTGGCTGTAAGGCTGGGCGCGACTCTGCTGGCTCAATGAACGGAGCTTGAACTGGCTTAGGCTTTGGCTTTTGCTTTCTGCGCACGGCGCCCACAGCGGGGAAGTCCTCATCGGTTGCGATAAAGTTAACATTTTGATTGACGGTCGCCTTGCTCAACTTTTCTTGCTGTGGGTCAGCGGATGATGTGGCTTGTGAGCTTTTATAAAAGCTAACGATGGGACTGACACTTGAAGTAGAGAGAGAGAGAGAGAGTGAGAGAGAGAAACCACAAATGAACCATGATGCAATTCAACTAAATAACTAATGTGGCTACTAACACAGCAGATCTTAAGCTTGTTGGTTGCGAAGGGTTTGGCTGAGCGCTGTCGGCGCGCAAGAAGTCAATCAGCTGCACAGGCTGATAACGATTTAAGTTCTTTTTAGATGGCATGCCTCGAATTGATAAGTGCTAGCTGTGCCGCAGTAGTAGCCCGTGACCAGGTAATTGGCGCCCAACTTCAAATCACAATCGTACGTATGAGCTGGCAGGAGAGATTAGAGATGCATTATAGTGAAGGCATCTTCCATAGGTATGCCCCTGGCTATAGCTTACCACGCACACGCACAAGAATCGGCCGGAAAATGCGATTAACAGTTCGAGGAGTCTGCGCACAGGCGCTCGGTAGGATGGCCAGCAAACGGTAATTCTCTGTTACGCGCAGCTTTTGGTATTCACTCATAGGACGCGAGCAGTTTGGGCACAACGGCGCTGGATATACAAAATGGGAAAATAAATAAAATATATTTAAAATTTACAATCGTAGAATAAACTAGAGATTATCTTAAATAAATCGGAGACGTAGAGAGACTGAAGGCCTAAAAAAGTTTGACATTTGCTGACATATATATCGTGTCGTTTCACTCACAGCAAACGCCTACTTTGATTGACATCCGGACTACGACGGATTTTGTAGCTACCGAATTCGTTTACTCACCGTCGGTGGAGCTGGTTTGAATGGCATTCCTCATACAACCACTGGAGCAGTACCAAATCGACTGCAGTCTAGATTTTTTTTTACAACGAAATTCAAGAACAAACAACAAAAATATATGTATATCAATTAATATCTGACGAATTTCAATCCAATAGCCAAGTCATGATAATATATGGCTATAAATCTTTCACTTACACCAATATCTCCGGCAGTGTATATGCGGACAAGATGCCGTCCACCAGGGCCAAGCCCAGCGGGTACAACCACTGGGAAGGATCAAACAGTAGATTCTGCTGTAGTGGCAAATCCAGCAGACGCCACTGCGTGTGCAGCTGAGCAATATCGATTGCCTTGAGGGAACTTTCGTTGGAGTTTGCGTTGGATTTAAGCAAGTCGCGCACCTGTCCGTACACCGAGTACTTGACCGCCTCTGCAAACTGCAGAGGCTCTTCGACGGCCAGGTGCAGCAGCTGCGGTGCGCAATTCACTAGCTCAGCGTAGTGGAAATCTAGGCGCAGCACAAGCGGCGCTAATGCCTCCTCTGGCTTGCGCGTGCGCCTATAGTTGCACAGGAAGCTGTTCACAGTACCTTCAATCAATTTTCCGAGATGCGTAGCACGACAAAATTTTTGCACTAATGTTTGGTCGTGAAATCTATTTACATATGTGGTTGGTTGGATTAGCAATCCCAATTGTAACCATAAATCCAGCAATACTTACTGACTATGGCGTTCGCCCGAACTATTCTCGATTGCAGTATTATTAAGTGAACTTGTACCTGGTGCAGTTTGTTGAGTTTGAATTACAGTATTCACATTGAACATTTTACCAAACCAGCGCTTTGTCAAATGACAGATTCAAATTCGCAATATGACGACGCCATCTGGCAGCCCTGTCAAGCTGCCATTTTCCAGGGCTGTACAGACAGCTTTCAAGAGTGATCGATATCGTTATCGAACATCGCAAATTTGATGTGGCCAACTGCTTTAGCACCAAGCACAAATCGCTGAAACCGGCGAACGTAAAAAACGGCTCCCTTTCAGCTTGCGACATATTTGTGTTGATGTACGTACAAAATTAAATAAAATTTATTTATACTGATAAATTCTATAGCTATTAAAAAAAAGCATTGTGTCCTATTATTATTTTTACACAGATTTATTTAATGAAGAATTCATGTGTATCTTTAGCTCCTGGCCACCCCACCTGTTTATTCAATGCACGCTTAAAGTTGATCAAAACGCTTCTGTGTTTACATACAAATTTACATCAAACGTAAAGTATCAAGTTTTAATCGAACATTAAACAAACGGTATTTGTTATTTGTATATGTATGTGTTGTTGTTTCTCCTTAACGGTTAGACTTGGCAACACGCTCCAATTCATCTTTCTTCTTGATGGCGTACGAGTTGGATGAGCCCTGTAATCGAGAAACAAAATAGATTAGTTCAGATATCATAAATATTGCACCTAGAGCTCCTAAACATTAGCTTAATAAGTTGTTCTTCTACGTTTCTCGTGTGCATTGAGCTGGGTGCTGCCACAAGCACAAGGATAATAGAAGACATAACATTGATCTTGTCCAAAAGC